CTTTGAGGCCCACAAATGCTGACTGGGGGATTCTGGGAGTCCTTTGAGGCCCACAAATGCTAACTGGGGGATTCTGGGAGTCGTTTTAGGGCCACAAATGCTAGCTGGGGGATTTTGGGAGTCCTTTGAAGCCCACAAATACTGGCTGGGGCATTCTGGGAGTTGAAGTCCACCCTTCTTAAAGTGACAGTGGCTGGGAAGCACTAGTCCATAGAAAGCAGCATCCCTCCTTCTGCCTCTCGCAGGCCTGAGTATGGAACTTGTAGTCCTTCCTCTTGAGGTGGCCTTAGTGGTCCAAAGGTCCACCATGGAGGGCCAGTGAAGGAGGAGAGGTGTTTCCCAGGCTGTCACTCTTCCACCTCTCTGGTCAACATCGTCTTGTTTGGACCCAGCATTCATCACACATTCAGGGTTTGAAATCTAGACCTCGGGCACTTTAAGATTTGTGGACTTCAATTCCCAGAATTCCCCAGCTGGCAAGGTTTTTTTTTTTTTAATACCAGAATTCAGTTATGTATACGACAATAACAAATACGGCCAGACTACTTTTATTTTATTTGTTTGATTGGGTAAGTTTTCTTAATAGATAGTGGGACTGAAGTAGACGTGATATATCTTGACTTCAGCAAAGGGGGAAAAGGAAGAAATGGCTGGGGAATTCTGGGAGTTGAAGTCCAGAGGTCTTAAAGTAGCCATGTTTGGATAGCCCCGGTCTAGAAGGTGTCCCAAATTTACTGGAAAAGGCATATCCTGAAGCACATGAAAGAGGAAGGAACCTCCTGAGAGAGTGGCCAGGAACTCTGCCCATGCTCTGGGGCACTCTTGTGCGCTATGCGCTCAGGACTTAACATTAGCGCAAGCCGAATCAAGTACGAAATGAGGAAAAGACTTCAGAAGAGGGTTAATTGGCAGCCAGTTTCTCTGATTGGTTTGTGCTTCCGAAAGTGCTCTGGGAAGCTGGGGTGGGGTGGGGAAATCTAGACCAAATAGGGCTACCCAGAGGGTATCTTTCCACCCCAAAGCCTAATTTACAGCAAAGTGAGCGTGGTGCCTGCCCTCCCGAACCGCCTGATTAAAAAAAATCATCCTCTTTAAATTGCTTTTCCCTTAAAAATATTTTAAGAAAAATAAAATAAAGTAAATGCAAACCAGACCAAAGAAACATGTTTGGCCGAGACCCCGAGACCTTCCGGCCAGGCCTCGTGGCCCTAAAGTGCTAGAGACAAACCTTGTTTTCTTTGCCGGTGTCCCCGATTCTACTCCTTGTGGCCTCCTTTCCCTCCCCGCCATTCCTTTCCCTGCCCTCTGCCCCGATTCATTCGTGGCCGTCCGGACTCAGTTCGTCGAGCTCCGTGTAAGGCTTGATCTCGCGATCCAACAACGACGGGGTGCGTCGGAATGTGGCAGCGATGTCATCGAAGGTGCGTCCCCGTGTCTCCGGCACCTTGAGGTAGGTGAAGGCGGAGAAGATGAAGAGGAGGATGGCGAAGATGAGGAAGACGTAAGGGCCGATCGCCTCCTGCAAGGGAATACCAGGAAAACAAGAGGTGAAAGGGAGTTTAGAGATCTTCTAGTCCAACCCTCCTCCTATCATATTACCCCCCTTCCCACTAGACATCCCCAGTTCCTGCAAGGACTGGCTGCACTCAGCAAGTAACAACCACCATTAAGTTGATTTGCAAGGCGTCCATTTTTCCTCCTCCCTTTCGTGCTGTGCCGTTCCGGTTATCGGCGGCCGATGGCTAAAAACATCTCGAAGGGCCGTCGATCGACACCGAAGTGCAGGGATTAAAAATACGCCTTTCCCACCACCCTTATCCCTGGAGGAGGGCTGGACTAGATGACCTACAAGGTCCCTTCCGACTCTGTTAATCTGTTATGATTCTGTTATTCAGAAATGGTGGGAGCTTCATCCCTGGAGGGTTTCAATAAGAGACTGGACCGTCCTCTGTCAGAAATGGTGTAGGGTCTCCAGCTTTTGGGGGGGTGGTGGAATAGATGACCTCCAAGGATCCCTTCCGACTCGGTTATTATTCTGTTATTCAGAAATGGTGGGAGCTTCATCCCTGGAGGGTTTCAAGAAGAGACTGGACTGTCCTCTGTCAGAAATGGTGTAGGGTCTCCAGCTTTGGGGGGGGTTGGACTAGATAACCTCCAAGGATCCCTTCCAACTCGGTTATTATTCTGTTATTCAGAAATTGCGGGAGCTTCATCCCTGGAGGATTTCAATAAGATATTGGACAAGCCATCCGTCAGAAATACTGTAGGCAGCGTCTCCCGCTTGGGCTGGCAGCGGGTGGGCTTGGACTAGATGACCTCTAAGGTCCCTTCCTGCTCTGTTAATCTGTTAAAAGGTTCTCACGCTCACCTGGATGGCCGGGAAACTCATGCCGATGATGAAGTTGCTAGTCCAGTTGGCAAAGCCGGCCACGGCCATGGCGGCTGGCCGAGGACCCTGGCTGAAGAGCTCCGCCACGATGAACCACGGGATAGGGCCCGGCCCGATCTCAAAGAAGGCCACAAAGGCGAAAATGGCCACCATGCTCAGGTAGCCCATCCAGGCCACACTTTTCTGTGGAGGGAGATATTTCTTCAGAGGATTTTTCCCCGGCTGGCAAAAGTCCCGGACATGCAACGCGACACATTCAGAGAGTCCTCAACTTACCATGCGTCATTTAGTGACCGTTACAGAGTTACCACGGCACTGAACCAAGTGAGTTATGGCCGCTTTTTCACGCTTAGGACCGTTGCAGCAGCCTACGCGCGGCCTCGCAATCAAAATTCAGACGCTCGGCAGGTGTCTCGTATTTATGGCGGTCTCAGCCTCCACAGGGTCTTGCAATCAAAATACAGCCACTTGGCAAGTGACTTGTATTTATGACAGCCGCAGCGCCCCAGGAGTCAGGAGATGCCCCTTTTGCGACCTTCTGACAAGCCAAGTCCATGGGGAAGCCATTTGCTTAATGACTGGCTTAACAATGACAGTGATTCATTTAACGACTAAAGCAAGAAAGGTCATAAAATGGAGCAAAACTCACTGAATAACTGCCTCACTTAAGAACACGAAATTTTGGGCTCCATTATGGTGCTCCTAAGTCAATAACCATCTGTATCGGTTAATGATTCACTTAAGGAGCATGCCGCTAAATTAACAACTGCAGCGATTTGGTTAAGAAAAGGGATGAAGGACTTCCGGTGGCACTTCTGTCGAAATCAGATCGGAGTCCGTGATTGTGCGTTGCTCCGATCCGAGCTCTACTTGTTGGAGCATCTCAAACAGGACCGGAACCACCCTGGAGGGGTGATGAAGAAAGAGGGACTGCCTGTTTTGCTCAGCAACCAAAAATTCAGGGCTCGGTTACAGTCGTAAGTCGAGGACAATCTGCGTTTGGATGCGAACAATGAGGAGGGCCCTTTTGGTGACTCACAGGAGTGGAGAAAACCCATGGATTATCCTCCCCACAAAAGGAAATCAGACACCTGTTGCTTCAGATTCAGGGACGGTGGAACTGACCGCCACAAGATGCAGCCGATTGGGATGGAGAGCAGTTTTGGAGAGAAATCCAGCCCTCAAAAGGGGGCGGGGGCGGCGTCCTTAGTCCGGCTACTCACCAGAAGGAGGAGTGAGGTCATCATCAATAAGGCACAGATGCCCATTCCGAGTAAGCCCACCAGGTGTAGCGTCCGCCTTCCTGCCCGCTCGACCAGGAACACCTGGAAGAGAGGACAAAGGTGAGGAAAAGGTGCTGAGACTCCTCACCTGAGGGAGGGAGAGGGCCAGGTGGGCAATCCTAACAGCTGTTCGGTTTCTAAAGCAAGTGACTGATAGCAAATTTTGATTTTTATAGCCAATTGAGCAGGGGGTTGGACTAGAAGACCTCCAAGGTCCCTTCTAACTTAGTTATTCTGCTATTTCTTTTTTTTTTAAATAAACTTTATTAGTCTTTTATATCTTTAAAAACTGAACAAAATATATAAATATTATGACATTAACAATGTGTGACAACATTCATATACTTCTATTTTGTGCTTATTTACAAATATATACAATTCATGCAAATATAAATGTTTAATATGTAAAATGCTTATCATTACCTCTTTTCATCATCCCTTTGTCCCAATTTAATCCAATCATACAATTTTTCCCAAATTCTATAATATTGAGACTCTTCTTTCTCTTGTAACATCAGGGTTAATTTATCCATCTTAGCACACGCCATTATTTTTTGAATAATCAGTTGATCTGTTGGTGTAGAATTCTGTTTCCAACATTGAGCATAGGCAGTTCTAGCAGCAGTTAAGATATGTAATATTATTATATTTTATATCTTTCCCATATTTCTTTTTAATCATCCCTAAGAAAAATAATTCTGGTTCTAAATCTACTTGTTTGTTCTGCTATTTCAATGTCTATAGCAACTGATAGCAATTTTTGATTTTTATAGCAAATTGAGCAAGGGGTTGGACTAGAAGACCTCTAAGGTCCCTTCCAAATTTGTTATTCTTTTATTCTGTTATTTTGATGTCTACAGCAAATGATTGATAGCAAACATCCGTACAGTACTTGGTAATTGCGAAATTTTGTGGAGCATGGAAGGAAAGGATGGATGGATGAATCTTTTACCGACATTTCTCAGGCCTTGACCATTTCATGTTATGTGGACTTCAACTCCCGGAATCCCCCTGCCATCTCTCTTTTTTTCCCCCCTCACTTTGCCGAAGTCAAGTTATATTAAGTTCACTTCAAACCCACCATCTATTAAAAGTTATCCTATCAAAAAAATGTGATCAGGGTGTTTAACCATATTTATTCTTGAACCCTGAGCCCATGCTTGCTGGGGAATTCTGGGCCTTGAAGTCCACAAATCTAAAAAGTTACCTGGTTTGGAGACACACACGCACACGACCCCGTGGGGGTTTTTGGGGAACCCCCACGGGATTGGTGGTGAGGCAGGATCTCTTACCGAAATGATGGTGAAGATGGTGTTAACGATGCCTGTCCCGATGGTCGCGTAGATGGGCTGCTCCAGGCCAGCTTTGGTCAAGATGTCGGTGGAGTAATAGAAGACCTAAACAGGAAGGGTGAAAGTTCTTCCTGGTCCTTGAAGGGCGGGGGAGTCGCTTCTATGCTGGGCGAGCAGATGAGATGAGGAGTGACAAGGCAGGGTGGGCGGGCCAGCCAGAATTTTTAATACTGGTTCTCACGAACCTGCCCGAACCGGCTGAACCCCACCTGTGGTCCACCAGCAGCCTGTGGAGCTGACAGTAAAGTTGGACAGTGTGGAGGAGCATGGGCCAGTCCTGGAATCTGGGGAGGGCTCGGACGAGGGATCTGTGTCCGACACAGAGCTGGGTCCAGAGCCATCCGAGAGTTATGTGCCAACTCCGGAGCCTCCAGAATCTGACAGCAGTGAGGAAGAGGAGTCTGTTCCCAGTGCGCACATGCGCAGAGCTGTCAGAAGGCAAGAACAGTTAAGACAAAAGGAGTGGCTTGGGAGTAAGACTGGGAAGTAACTGTCCCCTCCCGTAAGATATAAAGGAGGAGCAAAGGGATAGGAGCCTTTGCAGGAAGCAACTTTCATTCGTTCTGGTCGGTTTTAAACTCTGAAGCTCGGTGTGGGCTTTGTGCTCCGTTTGGCCTTGTACAGCTAATGGGCCATTTAGTCGTTGGCAGTATTTCAAAGGAGATAAAAGTGGGTGCTCTATCCCGAAGGGCTGTGGCAGATTTCCATTGGGACTATTTACAAACTGTTTGGGACTCATTATGGGCTGGAAATGACTATAATTCACAGCTGTTCAAATAAAAAAAACACAAAGTTTTTGGGAACAGCGTGTGATTATGACAGTCTCAGGAAGCCCTTGGTCAGAACAACACCACTGCACTCACTGCGTTGATGCCCGACAATTGCTGGGAGAGTTGCAGAACCACAGCGATTAGCAACGGCTGGCGGTAAATGCGGGAACGGAAGAGCTGGAGGATGGAGACTCTGTGTTCCATGTCCATACGCCGTTTCTCCTCCTTCATCTCCGTCAATGCGGCGCTCACATCCTGATAGCCAGTCAGCCGCTTGAGACCTATAAAGGGGGACACATGCAGGGGAGAAATTACTGTGTTTTCGCAAAAATAAGACCCTGTTGTATTTTTTTTTTTTTTTGGTCACCAAAAAAGGCACCAGGTCTTATTTTGAGGGGGAATGTCCTCCATGGACTAACCTCACTTGCGTGCGTCGCCCTTGGCCTCCTTCCGGAAGTCCTTCTGCTGTGGCTTTCAAGGCTTTCTTGAAGGCTTCTGCAGCCAATAACAGACTCCGGATCAATCCAGAGCTTTGTTATCAGCTCCAAAAGCCTTCAGGAAAGCCTTGCCAGCCTTGCCGGCTACAAAAAAAATGGGCTGGCCAGGTGTAGAGTTGTAATTGCAGGAATGTTCCAATCTCGGATGGCAAACCTCAGATAAAGAATGTTTCCAAGCAAATACAACTCAGGTAAACAAAGTCACTAATCTAAAAGAGGATTAGAGAGACTTTAACTAGAGATAATTAATTGTATGGATTACTGTGCTAGACAGTAACGAAAGTTAAACAGTAACAAAAGTTAACCAATGATGGAGTATAATTAAAAATGTGTATAAATGCAAGACTAGACTCCAATAAAGATAATCATGATTCAGTTGTTCATGATCAAACAACTCAACTGCCTCATCATTACAACAAATGGCGCCTGAACAGGGACCCTCTTACTTCGTCTGGCAAGGATTTGGTGCACCTTCAACCCTTTATGGTTTCTTCAACCTTTTGGTTTCTGTAAGTATGGGGTCTTCGCTTTCTGAGGAACAAAGGAAGCATATAGATGAATTAGGCTATTTGTTGAAGAAAAATAATACTGAGGTACCGGACTTCTGGTTTGCAAGGCTTCAGCGGCAGGCAGGAATCCGCGATCATGCACGGTTTCTGCCTGGGCTCGCTGCTGGAGCATCCCGAGCCAGCTGGCTTCAGGGCTAAGCCACCCCGTAGAGGTGGTGAAGATGGGGGAGGCCCAGAAGGGTTTGAGGGGAGCCACACCTCATCTCCTCAGCTGGCTAAACTCCCTTTCCCGAAGGCGGTAAGAGCGGTGGTCAGAAACGGCCGCCTCAAAGAAGCACTCAGCCAGAAAAGAAAGTGCAGGAGGAAGTTAAGAAGTGAAAGTTTTTGGCTGACCGGGACAAAAAGTAACAACCAAGGTACCCTGGAATTTAAATTTTGCAAAAGATACATCGCTCCCAAAGAAGAGTCGGAAGCAGAGAACGAAACTGAAAAGGGAAAGTTTTTTTTTTATCACTCTCCTTCCTCACGCTGATAATGAGAAGATCCGAATAAAGAAATCGGAAAAATCCGCTTTGGCACCAACAGGTAATTAAACTGGAAATATAATTAAATGCCAAAGGGACAATAAAGATTTCTGAACACTAAAAAATCCTTTTTTTGCTATAAGTGGGAAGGGAGAGGAAAAGAATAAGGGCAGGACTTGGAAGGAGGAGACTGCTTGGAATTCAAAAGAATTTAAAGTTAAATCTTAGCAAGACTTCTAAAGGATACATTTTAACTGGAACTTTGCAACTAAATTGGGGTTCTTGGGGTTATTAAGAAGAGACAGTGAAAAAAGAAGAAAGTGTTAAAAGAAATAGCTTGTGTGTACTTGGATTGCTTGGTGATTTTGGGACTTTTGGAAATCATATTTGAATGACTAAAAACAATTGGGTGGTTGTTTAAAAACAACAACAACTCTACAATGGCATCACCTCTGAATGAACTGAATGAACTGAATGAACTGGATGAACTGAAAATCGAATTTAAAAAATATAAAGAAGAAGAACAAGAAGGGAAGGGCTCCTTTGGCTCCACCTTTCAATTCTTAGAAATGGCGATTGGTGTCTACAAGAAACAACAAGAAAAGACTGCGCAACAAGAAGATTGGGACAAAGAAGAAGCCATTTGTAATGAACAAGTAATTCTATCTGGGGAAGAAGAGGGAAAGGGGGAAAAGAGAATGGAGAATTTAAGACCTAAAAAAAACAGTCAAAAAGGGAAAAATAATGTGAAAAGGGGATATACTGTTGGAAAGC